AACCTGGGAGGTGGAGCTTGCAAGATCATGCCACTGCACTCCAGCCTGGGTGACAGAGCAAGACTCCGTGTCAAAAAAATAAATAAATAAATACTATAAAGCCATACAACCAGAACAACACGGTACTGGCATGAAAACAGGCACCTACACAGACCAATAGAACAGAATAGAGAACCCAGAAATAAAATCACACGTTTACAGTCAAGTCATTTTTGACAATGGTGCCAAGAACATACATTGGAGAAAGGACAGCCTCTTCAATAACTGGTGCTGAGAAAACTGGATATCCATATGCAGAAGAATGAAACTAGATTCCATACCTCTCACTATGTATAAAAACCAAATTGAAATGGATGAAATAAATTAAGACCTGAAACTATTATATAAAACTACTAGAAGAAAAACACTGGGGAAGTGCTTCAGGACACTGGTCTGAGCAAAGATCTTTTGGGTAAGACCTCAAAAGCACAGGCAGCAACAGCAAGAATAGATAAATATGATTACATAAAACTAGAAAGCTTCTGCACAGGAGTGGGAACAATCAACAGAGTAAAGACACAACCTACAGAATGGGAGGAGATATTTGCAAACTATCCATCCAATAAAAGGTTAACCAGAATGTATAAAGAACTCAAACAACTCAAGAGTAAAAAAAAAAAAATGTGATTTAGAAATGGGCAAAGGATCTAAATAGACATTTCTCAAAAGAAGACATATAAATAGCCAACAGGTATTTGAAAGAATACTCAATATCACTAACAATGAGGGAAATGAAAATCAAAACCACAGTGAGACACCATCTCATCCTTGTTAAAATAGCTGTTACCTAAAAGACAAAAAATAACAGACACTGGCAGGAATGCAGAGAAAGGGGAATGCTCACACCCTTTGGTGGGAATGTAAATTAGTGCCAGTATAGAAAACACTATGGAGATTCCTCAAAAACTAAAAATAGATCTACTGTATGATCCAGCAATCCCACTACTGCATATATACCCAAAATCTGAAAGGAAATCAGTATGTCAAAGAGACATCTGCATTACCATGTTTGTTACAGCACTGTTCACAATAACCACGATATAGATTCAACCTGAGTATCCATCAACAGATGAATGGATAAGGAAAATGTGGTCTATAAACATGAGGGAATATTATTCAGTCATGAAAATAGAATGAAATCTTACCATTTGCAGCAACATGGATGCAACTGGAGGTCACGATGTTAACTGAAATAAGTCAGGCACAGAAAGACAAACATTGCATGTTCTCATTCATATGTGGGAGCTAAGAAAGTTGGTAGAGAATAGAATGATAGTTACCAGAGGCTGGGCAAATACTAGGAGGAGAGGGATAAAAAGAGGTTGGTTAATTGGTACAAAAATACAGTTAGATAGAAGGAATAAGTTCTAGTGTTTGATAGCACAATAGGGTGGCTATAGTTAATAATGTATTGCATGTTTAAAAATAGCTAAAAGATTTGGAATGTAACCAACAAAAAGAAATGATAGACGTTTTTGATATCTTAATTACCCGGATTTTATCATTATGCACTGTATGCTTGTATCAAAACATCACAAGCACCCCATAATACGTGCAACTAGTACCAATAAAAAAGTATTCAAAAATAAAAAGCCTATTAATGAAAGAAAAAAATTAGTCTTCTGAAAAAAAGAACTCTACAGAGAAGGATCCCCTAAAGGGTATGAAGTCCATCCCTCTCTCAGTGTTTTACAAAGGGGCCTGTCTTAGTCTAGTCAAGTCGCTATAACAAAATGCCAAACACTAGGTAATTTACAGCAGAAATTTATTTTTCACAGTTCTGGAGGCTGGGAAATCCAAGATCAAAGCACTGGTGGTGTCTGGTGAGGGCCTACTTTCTCACAGATTGTGCCTTCTTGCTGTGTCCTCACATGGTAGTGAAGGCAAGGCACCTATCTGGGTTCTCTTTTATAAGGAAACTAATACCACTCATGAGGGTTCTTCCCTCATGATAAAATCACCTCCCAAAGACCTCACCTCCTAACACCATCACCTTGGGGGTTAGGTTTCAACACATAAATTTTAAGAGGGAAACAAACAGTCAAACCATAGCAGTGCCCACTGGCGTCTTGAGCAGGATAAAGAGGAATTGTTCTATGCAATGCAAGGCATTAAGCATACCTGGTTCCTGGCTACTAACTACCCACAGAGACCTCCAGCCTCACTTGAGACCCACTGCAAATGACAAGAGAACTGCACTGGTCACTACTGAATTGCACACTGGCAGCAAAACAAAACTCAGTGCGATGTCTTTGCAGATACGTGGAACTCAGGGCGATGTCTTTGCAGATATGTGGTCAAAGAAGTTACCTGCCACGTCACAACATTCCTTTTTATTTGGCTACTGAGCAGCCTTAGTCCAATTTGTTGCCCATCTCTAGCAGCTGGGCATAACACAGATTAATGGTCAAGTTCAGGTCCCACTATTTTGTGGTAATGAGCAATTATTTTCTCTAAACATTAATTCCTTCACGTGAAAAATGGATAATAATGGTAATTCTAATTACTGAGAGCTTATTATGTGCTAAGCGCTATTCTATGTTTTCCATTAATTCATTTCATCCTCACAACAACTCCATGAAGTAGGCACTATTTCTATTCTCATTTTGAAAAGGAAGAAAATCAGACACAGAGAGGTTAAGAAACTTGCCCAAGGTCAAACAGCTAGTAAAAGCAGAGCCAGGAGGACCCTGGTGGTGGCAATTAAACTAGTTAGTGCATAGCAAATGTTAGTGTGGGATCTCGTAACGGGTCTGGTACACTGCACACAACTAATACAGGTTAGTTATTATTAGGTCGAAACCTTAGTATTAATATCAACTTCTGTGGATTAATCTTAGTTAAAACTTGATTTTCTTACCTCTGAGGCAAATAAGCCCAAACACTTGTTCTCTCTGATTCAACATCAAATTATGACTCAAGTTCCTCCTAACACTTCAGGAAGGTTTTTCACTCTGTTACTGTGATTTTTGCAAGTCTGGTCTCATAAGGATTGGTACGTTTTTTTCTGTAAAGGGCTAGATAATATGTTAGGCATTGTAGGCCATCCAGTCTCTGTCATGTATCCTTCCATTTTTAAATTTTTCAACCCTTTTAAAATGTAAAAACCATTTTAGCCCATGGGCCATAGTTTGCCAACCCCTGCTCTCTGGGATTATTGATAAGGGTACCATATAAAACATCAAGAGACTTTCACACGGAGTAGATGGAACTATCAGAATTTGGTAATTGCCTCATTACACTGTCATTGATCCCCACCCATCACAATAAAGTTGCCAGAGAATTCATTAAAGTGATAAATGACTAAAACAATGAAGAAGCATCTGAAAAGTTTTCAGGGGAGGGAAGGTTGGTAGGTGGGTACGCAAATCCAGAAATGCCTATGCAGAAGTAAGTCTTCTAAAGCATTGGTAATGAAGGGGAAAAGGAAACTATCTCACAAAAATCATAGTGTTTTAGAAGCAGCACAAGATTTCATTCATGCAACAAATCTTTAGAAATATGTATTGGGTATCTCTATGTTCAGGCACTTTCTCAGTAATGGAATTATACAATTTTAGAGCTCAAAATGACCTTAGAAATTATCTGATCCAATCTCCTTATTTCACAGATGAGAATTCTGAGGCCTCAAAGTTAGTTAAAATAATTTGGCAATTTCTGTGCAAAATTAAATGTAGTGGGGTTTGTTTTTAACCCCTCAAATGTAGCACTTATGTAGATTATTAAATGTTTGTTAAATAGAGGTTATTAATGGAAAGCTCCTATTCTCTTTACCACCTTTAAACCACCTATTTAATCTGGCAAAACAATACATTTTACTTCCTTTATCAATTTACTTAAAATCCTTTTTTTGTTTGTTTGGTGTTTTTTTGCTGTGTCTCACAAACTTTTGGTGTGCTTAAGTGGCCTAACAATCACCAATCATTAAATGAACTAGTCTCTGATCCACTTTTAGCACCTCCTTCTCCCTGCAGGCTCCTAGCCCCTCCACTCACTCCCCCTACCTCTCCTCAGACACTTTTCTCTAGTTCTGTTGCTGCCACTGTCACTGCTGTCTCAGCTCCTGTCTTTCTGCTTCAGTCCTTCCCACCTCAATACCTCCAGATTTAGACTATCTACATTTTCCTTCTTAACACCCGGCTCAGGTCTTACCACCCTCAGGTTCTGAACACTGAAACAAATCCTACTTGGCTACTACTAAAGCTCCACTGTTAGGCTAGTTCCTCAGCCCCAAATCTACCTTCTTTCTCCCAAGTCTTACTTACCATTGTTTACTATTATTTGTCTATTTCCTCTGATGTTCCCTTCAAACTGTTCCTCACTCTTGCCTAAATATGCCCCAATGTTTGAGCCTTTGCTAAAGCCTCTCTCTCCTTGAGAAACACCTTTTTGTCCATCCCAACCTTCAGAAACTTCATTCTTCCTTAATGCCATCTGCTCCTTGCCCCTGCTTTCTTCTCCATTTCTGCAGCACTTGGCTCTACTTTCTTATGCAGGAATTGAAGCTGACCTTCTATTACATTATCTGAGTGTATGAACTAACACCTCTATTGAAAGCAATCTATCCATTCTGCAAGTACAATAAGAAATAGTTTTAAGTTAAAACACCAAATTTATTGCATAATATTGAACTATATGCACACACATAGAAAATAAACATTTCATATAACTGTATATATATTTTTAATCCTGTATTTATAAAGACTGAAAAACTACCAATTTAGCAATTGGAGTAAGTTTTAAAAACAAAAAAAGCAAAAATCTACAATCCTTCATCAAGATTTGATGCTTTATCACAGTTCATAAATACTTCATTTTATATAAATAAGTCTTTTCTCTAGTTACCAGGAATTTAAAATTAGACTTACATGGATTCTTTAATCATGTAGAATTTTCTTACTCCATGATGAGGAAGGTTGAGCATGTCATTATTTTTAAAATACATATATTTGATTTAAACACAATCCCCCCTAAAATCCCACTGTAAACAAACATTTCGAATGTGATAAAGTTTCATAATAAAGAACGTCCTTAAATCTTAGCAATTAGGGAAGAGGAAAAAAATCTGAGTAAAAATTTTGCAATTTAAATAAAAATTGAAAAAAAGGCTGCATGCATCCACTAGGAGAGGAGAGGAAGGGAGCACTGAGTCAAGTAACAAAGAATGGGATAAAATAAAGAAGAAACGAAAGGAAAATCAGGGAGGCAGCAGGGTATGAAAAGGAGAAAATTAGGGAAGGGAGCAAGGAGAAAATAGTAGAGGACATAAGGTGATAGAAAAGGGGAAAGTAAATTTATTATTTCTACTTTTCTTGGACAATATAGAGACTCAAAATAGTTAATGCAATTTGCTCCAAAAGCGAGAGCGGAAGGGGTGATGGGTCTATCAATTAACCTCATTGTCAAAGGGAAAAGGATGAGCAAGAAAACAAAATTAGGCTCAGCTACAATGAATGCTAAGCTGCTCTGCACATCTTTTAAAAGGTCTAGGAAATAGGCACAGCCATGGGAAAGTTGCTATTCCCTCAAGAACTTTTTAAAAGCAAGATATGTTTATATAGGCTCCCATAAATTCTTAGGAGTTCTGCCAAAATAATGGACCCAGAGTCAGCTTTTTGGAATTGGGAGATTCTGAAGTAGTCCTTTCCTCCTTTGGGTTAAAGGAGGGCTGCAACAAGCCAGAGGCATTCCCAAGTGTACAGAGGAAGGTGATGTTCTTGCATGCGCAGATAAGAAAGGACGGATCAGTCTAAATCATTCTCATAGAGGAATGAGAAGTTAAAAGAAGGACAAGGAAGCATTGTGAGAAAAGATCAGGGCTGAGAGAGATATTTGGGAAATGAAAGTTTAAAAATCCACTGCCATTTCATCCAGCAGAGTGCAACACATTCACAAGTGCAAGGAATACTGGGTAGTTTGTTTTAAAACAAAACAAAAACACCTCCCATACAAGGGCCAATTTTTTACCCCATCCCCAACCCCTAATTTTTCAAAAAGGTTGTTTACTGCTATACAATCCCAGAAACACATCAACCAGGCTCAGGATTTTAAAGTCCCAACCCACTTAGACAATAAAAAAATAGAAATCACTCCCCATGATTTTCTGTATAGGTCTCAATGTGGACATTGAGGAAGGAAGGGAAATATTGGACAAGCTGAGGAGCCTCAGGCCAAACTAAACCCTTCATAGTTGTCAAGGGCCTGGGTCAGCCGGGCACTCAGAATCTCTTTGCTGCTGTACTTGGGGAGGTCAAGAAGGTTGTAGCAAGTGTGGGCCACTGGCAAGTACTCCTCCCCGCTGGCTGTGGACTGGATGACAATCTGCAGGCTGGCCATGCCGTAGATGGGAATCCGATCGCTGCCTGTCAGGAACACTGGGGAGAACGAGAAATGGCATTAGGAGCTAAGCAAACGGAAAATGGATTTCAGAGGTCCTTCTAGCAACAGGAAAGGAAGCCATGACACCCTGTGGCTTGCATGAGAAGTACAATTACATTTATGTGCCAATATGCATCCTGTGGAATGATGCTTAGATGCACTTAAGAAAAAAAAAAGGCCTCAATCAAATGTACGCCCTCACAAATTTTAGGAGGTTTCCCAAAATCAAAGAGGGAAGGAATTGTTGTCATAGGAAAAGAGCAGCTGATCTCAGGGGGAAACCAGGCAGAAGACTGAAGTCTCTGACCTCAGGGTCTCCTCTCACCTGAAGTGCCTGATGCCTGTACCACCTTGTCTATGGAATTCCATTTAGGATCTATTTGTTCTCCTTTCCATGTCTCCATTTTTCTTAAACCAGAAGAGCTGACCCAAACATTATGTTAGACATTGCACTCCTGTGACATGCACTGTGACATGGCAGAAGAGAGAGAGGGAGATAGAGAAAGAGAGCCAGCTGACTTTCCTTGTTTTCTAGTGCTGAACAACATCCTCATAGTTGAATTGCTGGAAATTACTATAAGAAAATCATTAGTTAAGAAGCATTTTCAAATAACCTGTCATTCCCTGAGGCTATGCTACATAAACTTTCTTGCCAAAAATCTCCAGAGTTAACAAACATTTCCATAAGTCTAATGAATAGAAAGTGCCATTTTCTAGGGAAATCCCAGGACCATGAGCAGGCATCTCTTGAATGTCACAGCCTTATAAGCTCACTCGGCAAACCTTAACCTGTCCTTCAGCTCTTCCACTACTGCTTCTCAATAGCCAAAGCGGCCAGGCAGAGGAGAAGTGGTCCTCCTTTCTAAGAGTTCTTGTGTAAGATCTCTACTTCCTCTCATCCTTGCTCCAATGTGAGCAACAGAACCTGGGGGTAAGTCCTACATTAATACTAATATATGCCCAGTCTTATAAAGCAAAATAGACTGCCTATCAAACCCCATGCTTTGGTTTTATATGACTAAAATTCCATAGTATGCACTAGCTAATTTCTGACACTGATTATACACAGACACAAACTGAGAGATATTTCAACTATTTTTAAAAGGCTAAATTTGTTCATGTAAATTAGAATTCATTCTCCTTTCCAAAGGTATTATTACCTTTCTCAAACGTCATTCAGCCAGCCACCAAAGTCTACATATTGTATGATTCAATTTGCATGAAATGTCCAGAATAGGCAAATCCATAGAGACAGAAAGACTGGTGGAGGAGATATGGAGAATGACCGCTAATAGGTATGGGGTTTCTTTTTTGAGGCTATGAACATATTCTACAATTAACTGTGTGATAGTTTCACAACCGTGTGTATATGCTAAAAAACCACTGAAGTACACACTTTAAATGAGTATGGCATACAGATTATATCCCAGTAAAGCTGCTATAAATCACACCTTCCCAGTTGCATCTGGATACTTTGTAATATATTTTAAAGGCTAGAGAGGTAAGAGAGGTTAATCCAAACAATTTGACTTCATAAATGTAATACTTGAATAACTTATATATAAAATAATTAGTATTTTTAGAATAATTTAAAAATCAGGCTGGGCGTGGTGGCTCACACCT